TCCTTGTGCCATTCCAAAAGAGTCCATCTGCTTCTACTGCCAAGAGAAGGGGCATTGGAGACGAAGCTGCCCTGTTTACCTGAGAGATCTAAGAGATGGGAGAGTCAAGACGTATGGCTCTACTTCAGGTAAAATCTATTAACTAACTCTATAAGTTCCTATTCTTTGATTCTTAATATGTGATGTGATAAGATTACATTTTGAAGTTTTGCAGGATCGAAGAAAAGAGAGGAAGCTTAAGGAAGAAGCGTGCTGAATCTGATTATGAAGAAATGGATTTTGATCGCATGGATTCGAAGATCAGATTTTTGAGCTGCTACTCTAGAGTTAGGATAGATTGATAAGAAATATGTAATAGCATAGTTTTTCAGTTGAATTGCATTGTAAGGACAGATTTTTCCGCAATAAAATAAATTTTGATTTTATCTTATTTATTTATCCTTGCAATGGTGTGTATGAAAAATTGATGTTTAATTATTTCTATGATTAGCAATAATGGATTTGATTCTTAATTATGTTATTTGTGGAAATGTCGAGAATTTTCCAAATAAAAGGAAGATTCTCATCGCCCAAGTTTCAATTGGACAGAAACTTGGAATCATACAACTTGGTTGCGTGATGAATGAGAAACTTCATATTTGGAAATTAGACTATTTTTTGACAAAGTGTCAAGAGAAGGACTAGGAGATCGAGTACACTAGGTTGTGCGTTGATCAAGTCCACCACAAGAGTGATAAAGATATTCGTCATGATTTACTAAAGTTTAGTAAATATGGTTATACTTATAAGATTAAGTATAATTCTGAGTTGATTAAAAGAGTTTCAATCAATAGCAGAACGAATAAGAAGAATCAAGTAGACAGAAAGATAAAAGTTTCTTCATTCTAAGAAGAAGGGAGAGTACCTTTTATTTTGTTTCATGATAGACTTTAATGATTAAGAACTATTCCTCAAATGGTCCTCTAAGTGAGTCTTAGTGCATTTGTATGTCTAAGAAGAGGAATCGAGAATTATGGAAATAGTTAAATCAATAAGTCAATCATACTTCGTTCCAAAAAATCAAGTCTTAGAGTCATACTCCAAGATTGTGACTTGAGTGACAAGTCTTAAGTAGGTTTGTAACACATATCAAATGTAGAATAAGAAAGTTTCTTATTCTTGTACATTTGAAATTGGTAAGTTGTGATGTCTTGGATAAGACAAAGACCAACTAGGACTAATTGTGTGAAGTGTTAAACTTGATAAGAAGCTACACTTACTCTTGAATATTTGTTTGTCGAGAAATATTCTTGACAAGAGAAACTCATATGTCAAGGAGTCAGTGGGAGTCTTAATGGTCTTGAAAAGTTTCAAGAACAAACCAAGAATAAACCTAGTTGATCATCATTAGCACACGACTTGAGGTATATAACCTATCGTGTTGACATTATCTTGTTTCTGCGCCATTCCAGTTGAATTAATTGTGCATGTGAGTTCTATGAGTTCTCATTTGAATGCATAAAGACAAAGCACCTTGATCAATGGAAACTACATTGATATGTAGGGGTGAGTTGCTTGGAAGACATGGTGGGTATTCGTGCTACCATGAGGCAAGGAATCAAGTTTGAACGAGTTCAGTCCATATGAGTTTGGATTTGTCGCGAACCTTGTCTTACGATTATGGTTGTGGCAAATTCACATGGATAGGAACACATACATCATAAAATCTAAGTGTGACAAGGTTTCCCTCCTTCATGAAAATGATTGTGAGGAAATGCTTTTACTAAGAGAGATTTTAAGAAGATAGCAATTGTGAAAATTGTATTCTCAAATTCGATTATGATTACGGCATCCCTCTTCATAGTTCGAATTATGAGATTTGACAATTTAGTCTAAACATCTGGGACTTAGTAACATAAATTATGAATTGTTTAGACACACATGTGAGCTATCTAAGGCGAAGGTGTATGAGCTTAAAAAGCTTAGATAAAGGCTTATCAAAGCATTAGGTATTAGAAATATGAACTTAAGGAATTCAATAAGCATTGTTTTCTGGAAGTTCAATTGCTTTCTGAATACATGTCAAAGCTAGTGGGAGCATAAGTGTTATGCTGGTAAGAAAATAATCATCATGTTAGTGGGAGCATGATTATTATGGTAAGTATTGCAAGTTAGCAATATTAATTATAGAAAACAAAGATTCACTTTGCAAAGTTGCAAAGGTTGAAAAGTTGTTTTACTATAATTAAGGGAGAGAATATTATACTTCATTTCAAAAATTCTAAAACTTAGATCGAGAAATGTTAATAAATTTAGTCAAGGATACATAGTGCATTCTCAAAATTCGATTATGATTACGGCATCCCTCTTCATAGTTCGAATTGTGGGAACAGGGCACATAAAACATTATGGCAGAAGGATGATAAAGTATCACGTCTTTATGTGAGACATTATGCATCGTGTCCAATACGCTTCGAGTATAGGATCGATTGCGTATGCTATAATATTTGACCGTTCTAAAATTTTCCAAATGCATAGTGCATTAAGAGGGAAAAGGGACTAGAATCGGTTTTGACTAAAATAATTAAACAACTATCAAAGGACGATCCAAAGTTCGCTGAGGATTGGTCGCATGTGAGTAGTTGGAAGTATAGTACTGGATGGACCATATCGACATTATTATGAATAGATAAGATTCTATTTAGAATGAGTTGTCATATGGCAAATATGGAAATGTTTCCATAATTTGGGAGTTGGAAATTAAGAATTTATGTCTAGATTAGAAAATTTTATGCAAAAAGGATGTTCAAAGGAACGTACTTTGAGTGAGAGACATCACATCTATATAATTGTTTTGTAACAATTTCTGATAGAGTACCTTGTGATTTCATTGGCCGAGTCTTTGTGACTTTTGTGTTGTGACTTCACGAAAGGATCGTTGCATAAAATGTTAGAATCTGACATATTCTAAAAGTGGCAAGAATTTGGTATTCTTACGCTAATGATAAGGATTGGGGATTGTGAAATGAGTTTCATTGAAAAAGTTTTTCAATTGATCTATTTTACAAAGTATGGATCATAGGAAACCAAAGTGTGCATGCTTGGAGCATGGGACAATTGTGGTTATAATTTGAGTAATAAAGTTGATTTTCCGAAACATTAAACAATGAATAATGAGTAATCAATATGGTGACTAAATAAAAGATGTTTTATTTATACTCAAGAGTTTGGGGCCATATAGGATTGAGTATTATCGTTGTGTTTCACTTTGCATGTTTTGACTTCCAGAATAACTGGGTTATTCAAACCTCCACAGTCGGTCATACGTTGGAAGTAGGTATGAAGCAAGACTGTCATGAATATGTCTGTAGATTTTCTAAAGTGTTTAGACATAACACAAGTTTGTTGCAGAGTTCATGAGTGCTTTGATAAGATTAAAGTATTGGATTAAACCCATGCTCACTTGAATCACTTCATGGATTTATCACGGGTGATTAGTGAGACGATAACATTGTATATTCTTGAAACCGAGACGTGTGAGTTGTTATTTGCTGGTCGGTTGCACATCCGAGGGAGGAGCCCGAAGCAATTCTCAACGCCGACAGCAGGCTGCTCCATTCAACGATGCTTACTCATCTCGTAACACCCAATATGGTTGGGTATACATCCTGTCGCCTGCCTCTGATCATCACTTGTGGAATGCATCTGGTCAAACCCAACAACCATGATTATCATTTGTTCCCTCAATAGGCTTCTAATAGCAACTCATTTTGGGGCAGGCTCACATCGAGAAGTCAAGGTCTCCTTGGAAGCAGGCCATCATCACCATCATCAACTATTCTACAAGCCCATGTGCAATATTCTAGACCAAATCAGCCCCCTTGGGCCTGGCTTGGTAGTGATCAGCCCACTTCACTACCAAATTTATTCAACACTATGACTTTGAACGAACCAGGAAATTGTGGATGGGTCATGGATACATGAGCAACTGACCATGTTCACACCAATGCAGGTATTACTTAAATCCGTTTCTAATACTCATTATTATCGTTCTATTTATGTTGGTAATGGTTCTATAATACTTGTTGTGACATCAGGACATTCCATTTTACCTGTTCCAAATATTTATCGCACTCTTCCTTTACAAAATGTCCTCATTACACCTAATATTATCAAAAATCTCATATATGTTCGCAAATTTACTACTCATAACAATTGCTCTATTGATTTTGATCCTTATGGTTTTACAATTCTTTATTATCAAACACGTGGTCCTCTCATCGGTTGTGATAGCTCCAAGCCTCTTTATCCTATCACCAGCTCCACAAGCCATGCATTCACCTCCACCTTTTCAACCACCTGGCACCAACGAACCGGTCATCCCGACGATCAAGTCTTGAAGCATTTATTTTCTAGTTGTTTTATTTCTTGTCACTTACCAAAAAATAATGTTATTTGTCAGGCCTGTAAACTTGGCAAACACACTAAACTTCCAATTTATTTGTCTGATTCTGTTGTTTCTGAACCATTTGAGATTATTCATTCTGATGTGTGGACATCTCTTATTTCTAGTAATGGTGGTTTACAATATTATGTTTTGTTTCCTGATCATTACACTCACTATCTTTGGGTATATCCCATCAAACATAAATATGAAGTTTTTAAAAAATTCTTACACCTCTCGAATATAATAAAAACTCAATTTGGTGGTATTATGATTAGCAAAACCTAGCTAACATAGAGTTGGGTTGGCTGCTGGATTGTACTGTTGGGCCTTTAAGGTTAGAGTTTTTGTATGTATTTATGCACTAAGCAATACAAAGAAGAGGTTTTTATTAAACCCAATTAAGTTGTTAATACTTGTGCTTAATTTTTTTGTGTATATATACACACACACATTCATCCCCTCAAAACCATATATATTTGGTTGATTTCAAGGCTACGAAAGGATTAAAAAAGAAAGTTTTAAACTAAAACTTCATGACTCATAGACATAGTAATGAACTAAGAAACCAGTATTATCAACGTAACAATTTATTATCATTGTGTTGGAATTGGTTATTATTACCTATGTAATGAGAAACACAATCCAAGAGCTTCGTTTCCATGGATTTAAAGTGTTGTATTTGCATTTCCAATTCCATTTTCTCCTTTTTGAGGTTCTTGTTTTCTTCCATGAGTAAAACCATGCTCTCTTCTTCAATGGATGATGATGATGGTGTTTGATTATGATGATGATCGGTTTCTCCTGATGAAGGCTTCAGGTATGTGGGAAACACACTGGGCTCACATTTCTTTCTGCTCATCTCCATAAGAAGGTGTCTGCAACCCTTTTGAAACTTCTCATGTTGAAATTCCCACCTCTTTGAAGCTGTTTTCTTAAATCCCTGTAAACCATTTCTATCAAACTTTCTCATATGTATTTGTGTGTGTAGAATCAGATTTTTGCTCTAATAAAATTAGGTAACTTTTATATTTTATTCTTAAAATAGCTTTGTTGTAGCAATTGTCCACACATTCTTCAAGAAATATAACATTCGTCAATAATCACAAATTATAGTCAAATTTTACAAATCCTATATATAAATATTATAATTATCAAAATTTTGAATTACAGAACATTCAAAGAGAACCAAAAGATTGAAGTCAATCAATCAACCAATGTGTTCTATTCTTCTAAAAGCCCATAAATTCCACCATATATTCTAAAGGCACGTGGGCAAGAATCTTTGGCTTTCAACAGCCAAGACTTCCATGCCACAACAAAACAAACAAACAGTATTAACACAAATGTAATTAAGAAAATTTTTGTTGTTGAATAAATATAATATTTTATCCATTTTTATTGTTTTCTTTTATTAATCATAGAGAAATTAATATATACCAATTTCAAATACAATTTTTTTTTGAAATGGAGGAAATTCTATTTTAAAAAGACTAGCAAAGTGTTAGAGAAAACAAAACAAAACAAGACTACAAACTTTATCTCTGTCTTTAGTCCAAAGGAATAAATGTTTTGGGAGAATCACGAAAGAGTTTCGGATGCATGATTCTTCCTTTTGGTCTAATGCTAAAGGACAATTCAGATATAAAACTAATTGTTAACTATTATTATTAAATTATATGTCAAGCTAAAAGTTGTGTTTAATTTCAAATAGTTTTTATGGTATATTTTTATTGAAATTGAAAAATATTAATAGTTATTAAAATTTCTCAAAACTTATTAAAAATTGCCTCTAAAAGAGTAAATATGGCGGCTACCACCAATTTAATCCGTTAAGTAACAATAATCAACAATTAAAGATATATCACTGCACTTTTTGTACACCGAAAGTTATTAACTTTTAAAAAAGATTATTTTAGAGAGCATTATAGAAACATAATAATAATAATAAATTATGATAAACCTCATCATTTAAGCCGCCTATAGCTACTTCAATCCATTCTAAGGCCCACGATAAGAGGTAATCACAAAACTCTAATAGTAATATTTTGGGTGTGCAAGTGTTTAAACCTGTGTGAAATTTCATTTATCAACCATGATACAAATATAAGTTTATGGGTACTTTTGTAGATGTATAATTCAAAAGAATTGTATAACATGAGTTACAAAAGCCCTCATCTTTATTTTCCAACGAGATTCGTCAAAGACCGATCCAATTAAGTACCAAAAAACTAATAGCAAAAATCTAAATTCATTGATAATCATATATGCATGTTCTTACAATGTAAAGATTTTCAACTAAATACTCTTAAAGATACGGTAGTTTAATTGCAAATAATTAAGACCTATATATATAATACACATCGATGTTAATAACTCCTCCAATGGCTTTATGCTCACTTTCACAAATCATGAAGCTCCACTTTTCCCTAAAGAACAAACCCATTTACCAACTAAAGATGGTCAAAGTTAACTTTTTATAACGGTTAGCTACATTTCCATACGTTTTGCACTTAGGGTTATAACTTTATCTTAACAATATATAAACACACACATGCATATGTAGTTACATAAACAAAGATGGTCAAATTAGGTAGGTAGTCTCTTGGCCAAAAAGAATCTTATATGTTTTACTAGTGTATTTAAGAAATGAGAAACACGGGTGGAATTTATATAACTATATAATATATATAGCATATGCTAACTTGAGATTAGTGTAAAGAATGATCGATCAATTGTTCAAATGTATATGAATAAACAAAGAGTTTTAATGAAAACGTACGTACGTGTATGTGTGTATGTGTGATACACATTCATTACCATATAGGTCATACATAATAAACAAAATATGATAAATATTGACTTTGAAAATCATACTTCTTAATTTTTTCGGTAGGTAAGGTTTAGGAAAAAGAATTTCCATTGTTTCATAAGACTAGCTAACTGACTAAGTAACCTTTGATTTTTCAGATATATTTGTTAGAAATAGTACTTTATTGCTATTTTCTTTTGTTATGAACAATGCTGTAAGTACATTTTAATAAAACAATATGACGTAAAATATTTAGATCTCAAGGTAGTTAATTTTTATTTTTATTTTGGATTTTCGATAGAGTATCTTTGATTTGTTCGTGAAAAAAATCTTCAGAAATTGGCTCAGTTTGTTATTAATACGATTTAAACGAACCAATTTAATCATCATATTTTAAACAAAAACAAATCAAACAAATAATTTTCGCCTGTATATAAATTTGAAAAAGAGAGAGAGACAGAGTGAAATTAAACATACATAGGTATTGAGCTGACGAATGAAGCTTGAGAAGTTATTGTGTTTGAAGTAACGTGGCAACATATGCTCGGAGAACTCCGCCGGAGACCACACCACAAAACCATTCCCCTCCGTGTTCCATGACACAATCCGCCCTCCACCGCTGCAATTCTCTTCTCTCTCCTCTTCTTCCTCCAATAAATCGTAAGTCTTTGACAAAAACGGTGCTGGGAGTTTAGCCTTGGGCGATGCTGTGGTTGATCTCCGGCTAGATGTTGATGGATCTGGCGGATGATCGGCGGCCATGGTGATTTGAAGAGGTACGTTCATCTGCCGGCGAGTGAACACCGAGAAAAGAGTTTAAAGCCGAGGTTAATGGGAGTGGGGTATTTGTAGAGGTAGGGAAGATGGCATGTCACATTTGTGATTTGTCTTTGGTTTTTGCCCCTCAAGTGCATGCATGATACAATTTTAATAATTCCTTCCAAAAATACCCTACTCATAAATTCTTATAATTTAGAAAAGATAATAACAACGAATTGCCAATATAACAAAATTTTGTAACTTTATTTAATTATTTTTTAATATTTGACCAATAAACTAAAATAAAATGTTAAAAAATCATTAATGACCAATGAATTATTTTAAATGTTTAGAAAACATCAATTTACACTTTATTAAATAAACCATGAAAATTGTCCCAAATTTGTCCAGATGACATGTTATAGAAAGTACAACATGCTAACAACTTTCTTTTTAGTATAATTTTGACTAAAATTTTAAGCTTTGTTACAAATTTCTTCAATTTTTTATAACCTTCAACTCACATGTTTTTAAAAACTGTTTTTTTTTCTATAAATTTACTTGTTTACAACTTTTTACAAAAACCATTTTTACATGTTTTTATAAAGTTACTAATTCTATAACTTTTACAACTATTTGCTCCAACTTTTTTCTACACCGTAGTTTTTCATTAAAAAATGAACTTGTAAAAATAAAAATGTAAAAAATTGAAGCATATTTATAAAATATGTTTTGGCCAAATTCGTAAAATATATTAAAATGTGTCTAGAATAATAAAAAAAATGATTATAGCATTTCACAATAATCAATTTTAGGATAAATTTTCATGGATGGTATCCTATTGATATAATAACATTGGTGAATTGATGTTTAGAGATATTTAAATAGATCATGGTTTTTTGAATATTTTCCATGAGTTTATTTGTTAATGTGTGCAAAAAATAGCTTAATGCATACAATTGAAAAAAGTTTGATTATCCTTACAAGTTTATTAATGACAAAATTGCAAAAATGGTCCATGTGGTTTGTCAATTTCTGTGGGTAGAGTCCAAAAAAAAGTTTATTAGCAAAAAAGGTCCCTATTTGATGGTTTTGTTGCGGT